GGGGAGGGGCAGGCTCATGGAGCTGGACACCTCCCCTGCATATTGGCTCCAGCCTGCCTCCTCACCCTTCATGCTGCTGCCTCTCTATCAGAGAGGGGGTGGGGCAGGCAGATCCAGTGCTTGTGGGGAGCCAGGTTTTAAACCAGCTCTTCATGTGCACCGGTTCCTGCTCCTCCATCTTGCTGCCTCTGTATTAGAGGCAGCAAAGGGAGGGATGCGTGTAGTCAATAAGAGTATCAGTTAATCGTGTAGTCGTCTACTTGCTGACATCCCTAAGAGGGAAGTAATAGTGTAGTTAAATAACCGATTAGCAAAAGATTATAGGTTAATGCTATAGACTATATGCATTTCCACGCCCCCTTGCCAGTATATTTTTTTAGCAGGCTGGTCAGCAGCCCAGCTCAGTCCTGGCTCATGCTGGATCCGGGACCTACCCCTGCTGCAGTTCTGTATTTAAAGTGTATTAGGAGCCAGGCAGGCAGGCAGCCCACCTCAGTTCTGAGTCAAATGGGGCCTGGGAGTTCAGCCCCCGCTGGACAGGGGATGCTGCCACCCCGTGCTGCTGCCTCTGTATCAGAGGCAGTAGTGCAGGGTGACAGGCAGCTGGTCTGTGAGGGGAGCTGGTTTTTAAACTGGCTCCCCTTGTGTCCCAGCTCCTGCCTGGCACCCCGCACTGCTGCCTCTGATACAGAAGCAGCAGTGCAGAGTGGCGGGAGGCTCCTCAGGAGTGGCACTGGCTGCTGGCCCCACCCCTGGGTACTATACAATAGTCAAGTAACTGATAAGAATTCATGAGGTTAATCAACTGTTCAATTAACCAATATTTAACATCCCTAATCCCTACACAGAGCCCCACAACACTAAGGCCTTGTCTACATGGCATGTTTTGTCACCAAAAACTGCCTTTTGGTGACAAAACAGTGAAAGTATTTACACTGTAATGCGACTTTTGTAGGAAAAAATGCCCAGTTTTGGCAACAAAAAACTTCCACCCCTCTGAGAGACTTTTGTCTTTTCCCTTCCCTTTTGTTTCGACGAAGAGCCACTGTGAACTCTGCTGTTTGTTTTGTCAAGAGAACTTACTTCAGCATGTATCCTACGAAGTCTGCACTTAGTGTTTTGTGATCTCTGTGGCCCTGCAGACATATGCCCCTCCCCTTTCAAAGCTCCAGGAAGTATCTGACAGCTGAGTGAGCTGTTCCGTTTGGAGAACAAATCATTGGGATGCTCCTGTTCTACCCTGCTCTAGGAGCACAGTGGCTGGCAGGCTGCAGCTGCAGGGGGAGGGCTGGAGAGACTGCTGTGCTGCTTTGACATTCCTCAGCACAGAGAGCTCACAGAGCTACGAGGTAATCCCAAGAAGTGCAGGGATCAGCTTGGCCTTCCCACAACTCTGCACTGTGAGATGTTTACCCACAATGCTTTGCTCTATCTGTTGAGAGGGCGCTAGCAACGTAGCCATGAAACAGTGACAGTGGGAGGCAGGAAAACCAGTTTGACTGGTTTTCACTTTTGGCGACTTTGGAATGTCGACAGCACTTTTGTTGCCAAACCGTTGCAGTGTAGACACAGCCATAGCCTGGCCCTAAGTGGATCTACTAGGTGAGTACTGACTCCACGCGAAGAGGGCCATGTAATGATCCCATAAGACCAGTTCCTGGAACACTGAAGCATTCCTTGGAGGTCTCTGATCTAAACACAGACCATAGCTGTCTTTGCTTCACGTGTGCATTCTAATAGGGATGGCTGCCAGCAATGCTAGGTAATTCTGGGAGAGTTGTTTGATTGTGAAGTGTGTGTGCATGTGTGTGTGTGTACCTATGGTCAATGCATGCATATGGAGAGTGTGTGTGTGTCAATTGTGTGAAGAATATGATTCTGAAATTAAATATCTGATAAACTTTGAATATATTCTAAGTAATTTGCTGGTATTCAGTTAAGAGAAGCTATTGAGGGGAATTTAAAATCAAGCAAGGTCTAATTTCAAGGGGATACCTGCCCCTATTTTGTCTGAGCACTGGGACCCTCATGGGCAGTGCCAGGTACAGAACAATTCTCAGTAGGAGGAAAGCGAAGTTTGTTTGGTGATATATACCCTGGTGACTGGCTCCCTAACAATACCTATTTAAGTTTCAGAAGTGGCTGTGTTTGTCTTTTTCAGCAAAAATAACAAGAAATCGGGTAGCACCTTAAAGACTAACAATTTTATTATGGCAAAAACTTTCATGAGCTGCAACTCACTGCATCAAATGAATGAAATGAAAGAGAAAGGAATCAGTAGGCATATAGAGAAGGGAGGTTACATCAGAGCTAATTCAACCAGGGTGGACGTGGATAAGAAGGGGGAGTTACTTATTGTAATGGAGTGGAAAATTACTTCTTGTAATGAGAGAACCATTCCCAATCCTTATTCAGACCCATTCTGATGGTGTCCAATCTGCATATGAATTTCATGCTGCAGCCTGTTTTTGACACACAGCTACAGACTTAAAAGTTGCCATCCTCAAAACAAAACAAAACAAGCCCCTTTCAAAAACATGCTACCACATGAAACTGTGGAGCTGGAATTCTTATGCAAATTTGACACTGTCTGAATAGGGGCCCCGGGAATGGCTCGCTCTTTACAATAAGTAATTTTCCCCTTTAGGTATCCTCACCTTATCCACATCCACCCTGAGTGCATGAGCTCTGATATAACACTCCTGTCTCTGTTTCCTTTCAGTTTCCTTTGTCTTTCATTTCATGCATCTGATGAAGTGAGTTGCAACTCATGAAAGCTGATGCCATAATACAATTGTGGGTGTATTCTTAGAGGTGTTTAAGTCTTGGCTTGACAAAGCCCTGGCTGGATTGATTTAGTTGGGATTGGTCCTGCCTAGAGCAGGGGGCTGGACTTGATGACCTTCTAAGGTCTCTTCCAGCTCTATGGTTCTATGATTCTATGAATTATTAGTCTTTAAGTTGCCATCAGGCTCCTTGTTGTTAATACTTACCTAGGGGAATGTATTTGCATGAAAGAGCTGATTCTGTGGGTGCTGAGCTAACTGGGCACTGAAGATGCTTATCTCTTTGCTGTAGCAAGCTTGAAGCTTGTAGCTTTGAATGATAATCAGCATCTTGTTGACTAAGGGCTTTGTGTCCTTGAATGGCATTGGGGACAGAGGGAGGTCCAGGTGTGGAGAATGAAGCTTGCACTAAAGTCTCAAGTGAAACAATTCTAAATAAACAGCTGATAAAAGATGAAACTTATTCAAGAAAGGAAAACATGCTCTAGCAAACATTGAAATGTGACTATCGGAGCCATTAGTGGGAATAACATTTTAATTGGGTGACTCCATTATGCACAA